ACAGCCAGGCAATGAACGAGAAACCTTAGCTGAGCTGAAGTCCAACTGAATCAACTGAAGTCAGTGTCAGTGACTTGTGGGAACATTTATCCAATGCATTTGCAAAAATGATGTTCTGTGTAGGACATGAATCCTCAGCCTTTCTAGCATTCAATACCTCTCAAACTGCATTGCTGGCAATGATGGCAGCTGCATCATGATTTCCAGATGCAGTGTTAGAGACCGTGCTCAAATGGAGAAGCAGAGGGGTTGGGACTTGGCTTCAGCTCTTGCACTGCACCCTTAGCTGAGTACGTGCCCTGAATTTGGAGCAGATCCAATGATGTCTGATGATAGGACAGGTGGTCCGCTTTGGTCCGCTTGGTGGGTTGGGAAGTAAGTGCTGCTAGCGGTAATCCAACTAGGAGTGGAGTGGAGAAGGTGGAGGAAGTTTATTGGGATGGAGGGGAGTAAGGGGATTGATTGGTGGAGTCGGAGAGGTAAGAGTGAATACTTAGAGCGCGGCTCTAAGTTGGAGCGGAGGGTAGGAGGTGACGACAAGGTAAACTTGTGTCTGGAGAGGGAGCAAAGTCCTATGGAGAATTCCCACTAGTAGAGACAGCGGGAAGACAAGTGATATTAAGACTGGGGAGTAGCTAAGTACAGGATATGTTTTTATATACTTCTATGTAGGAGGCAGTGACTAGTAGTCCTTGGTATGAGGCTATGTACTAAGTATACAATTTGTAAGTAGACACAGGTGAAAAACATAAGTCAGGGTGGATATCAATATGTACGCGTCAGATCAGTTAGTCGAGCAGTTATTGGAAGTACCGGTGATCCAGGGAGTAAGTACTATGTGCAAATGGGGAAAGTATATACCTAAATGGGGAAAGGAGTTTTACAGTAGAATGGATGATGCATAAGGTAACCAATGAGGCAGTCGAGCAGAGCTGTAGGAGCCGATGCGGGAGCTGACTGGGTCAAGCGGAGGGTGGATGGAGCAGAGGTGGTAGGAAAGCAGGGAAAGTATGAAGTCAGGTGGAGCAGATATCAATAAGCGGAGTGGTTGGATCAGGTATATGACACACAGCCATGTCCACTCCATTGACATGATTAGCGGACTTAATCACACAGGAATTGAACAGCTCAAGATCTTTGAATGTGCACTGTCTAGTGCAAAGGCAAGTCACAGCATCACCATATTCAGTGTCCATTTTCATTTGCTGTTGCTCCTGGAGGCTTACAACTGTTTTAATAGTTTTCCATGCCATCCTTCCTAATCATTTTTTTAATCTCATCATCTGTTTGCCCTGCATACCATGAAATTGGCATATACAATGCACTAACATCATTGTGACAAATGGAGGGTTTGACTTGTTTTACACCTTGATTGAAAACACTCTGCTGTACAAGTGGGTTGATAGGACCACCAAACCACACTATGCATTTGAAAGCTCTGCCCAGTGGTTCACAAGATTCAAGTTTCAGGATCTGTTTATTACCATCACCGAGGCCAAGATCAACAGCTTGTTCAAAATCGTTTTGTGTTCCCCCACCACTGCAGATATGTTGTTTATGACAGCAGGAGGTTTTGGTATGCTGTATCCTGAATGGACATTGAACAACATTGCAGTTGTCAATTGGACGATCCTTCGAGGAAATCAAGATTACAACAAGATTGGATGCATACGTCACAACGGATTTGTGTGCCATGATGATACTAGCTTCATGTTGGGAGCATGTGGGCAGCTCTGTCCTATGCAGTGGTGTTATATTTCGGACTTTGGGGAACAGTCCCTGGTCATGGACTGGGATGCACACTTTTCCTTAAGATCTATGATCAGGACATCCCACATGATATGGCATCTTGTGGAGCATTGTCACAATGGCTCTTGTCCATATAACCCCACCAACAATACTCAAGTAGCAATTCTCCCACCCATACCTATCCCATGTGACCTAGCAACTATTCAGGTTCAGGAGGCACACATAGATAACCATACACCTGTGTGTTTTACTCAAAAATTGTTCCACGTTCATGCACTAACATTGGCTTGACACAGCACTATGCAGACAGATGACAGGTGTTATTATATGCAACACTTGCTACAGCTCCACACGTTGTTTCTGTCCCCCTGCATGATGGGGTGACACAACTCACAAACATATCCCAACTGGAAACATCACATTGGCCTGATTATCTCAAGCAAGACAAGTTTATTGCCCTCACTGGCTGCTTGTGGAAAACTTTCAACATGTTGCCTGGAGCTTCCGACACACCCTGGGAGCATGGCTACACCATCATCCGTGAGGATCCATGAATGTATCCTCCACCAAATGCTTTGATTTGTGACATAGCTTGCATTCCAGATGTACGTGATAATGTCACCGGCAATGTTTTGGTCATCAAGCATAAGAAGGGGAACAAGCACAATATTGTCAACATGACCAAGGAAGACACAAACATTGTTGACTTGCTCATCAGAAGGTTAGTTTTGGTTTTGCAAGATTCACTGCAGAAACAACTTTTTAGTTGGACACTAACCTAAGTGGGATTTCTCGGAGATCCCAATGTAAAATGTACCCTGTTGCTAAGTGGACACAAACACAACTTGCAGAATTTTGGGGATATTTGATGTTCAAAACAGAGGTACGGATTTGTAGCAGCAGCCCTAAACAGACCCTATTCAGAGGACTGTCATCACAACTAACCAGACCACCTTTGACTTTGCAAGACAGCGTCTTTCCTCACTCAAAACCACGTCTGTTTTTACCAGTGTGTTGTTTCCCAACCCTTTCCCAACCCTAGGCTCCTTGGTGCCAAAAAGTATGTCTTGCACCCTTTTTTTCTAAGTCCATCAGATGCAAACTCAACTTCATCCCAAGGCCTCCCCTTCCTCCCTTCTTTCGCCCACATAGCTCGCCTCTTCCATCACCCTCACTTTGCATGTGTATATATGCACCTGTTCCGTGCCTGTTTGCTGGTGTGATCTAAGTGTGTATCTTGCCACACTTGGTTTAATGCTGGCATGACACCACAGAAGCTGCTCTATAATTCAGTGAGTCAAATGTCTGATGTTTTCGAAAATATCCAATAGGTCTTACAATCACTCCAAGCTCTCCATGTGTACTCTGCTGCCCTCGACTGCATCCACAACAACCTGCCATTTTCCTGTACGAGGAGGGGGTAGTACGAGTGGCACTGCAAATGGTTTGTGTCACTGCTGCTGCCTTTGAGTTTCTTGACCTAACTGGCTGCCAGGATCACTGTGCCTTCATGTCACATATGGTTCGTTTTGCTGGTGCTGGTGCTGTTGCCTTTGACTTTCTTGAGCTAACTGGTTATTAGGATCAGGTAACCCAGCCCCACTGGGGTGTCTTTGTGCACTCTGGGGCAAGCCATACATTGCTGTAGGAGGGGAGGGGAACAGTTAGAAGAGCGGGAAGGATGATCCCATTTTTCTGGGATGTATGGCGGATCCATAGAGGTATGTAATCATGCTCTAAATAGATGGGATTTCGCTATTTTAGACATTCCAACCTGACATGATACACTCACTAATCATACACAAACCTGACCAGGGAATAAGACCTCCATAGCCTAAGAAGAGTCTGTACTATGTTCAAATCCATACTCTGGTTTGGGTATGCAATCTCATGCTTTGTGTACTTTGACAAGTACATTTTGATTATATATCTGTACTACACTTTGCATCTGTATATAGGCCCTAACCCTACCCTTTCTGCATGCAGTGTATTTCCTCGTTTCCCCAGTGACTGATACTTGCTGACTCTGACACAGTGCCATTCATACATCAAATTTGTGAACTTGAGGGGTAAGTCGACAATCACTCATTATGTCGTGGCACCTGATCAGATTTCTATTTGGTCTCAGATCAGTGACACTCTGGATTAACTTAAGTTAGGAAATTCATTATCTTGTGTTGGTAGATCATAGACTCAAGTGACTTCTTTGGTCACTCAATTGAACATCTTTTTAACATGCCATTCATTGTACACGATAGGCCATAGTATCAGGCTGATTGTCAATGATGATAATATCAGACTCTGAACCTGTTATGTGTGAGGACTGCTGTCTCCATGGCCTGTCAACTTCAACTTGAAATTGTTTTCTTGATAGCGAGCAATAGATGTTTCAATTTGCAGATTCAGTCACTTCTCTAGTACTTGGATTTATTATTCTGACTTGAATCTGTCGAGACAGCCCCTGTTTCAGGTGTCTTCAAACCTAACATCCATGAACAAAGATATCTTTGGCCAATCAGGTAGAGGCATGCAAAATTATGCAAAGACCGATGATTGCACTGGACAGGGGTCATTTTAACACATGCCTTGGTCACTGATCAGGATGTAGTGGTTCAATGCATGATGTTTGACTAATCTATTCAGGAATCTGAGAGAATCAAGAAGCAGAGGATGGTTTATGTGATGGTTTCAGGCCTTTGTTAAAATTTGTCTTGCAATGTGCCATTATGTGTATCAGGCAGGTGAGAAAAGCATGTGCGCTTGATGATGTTTCATGCAATATGACATCTAGTAAGCCTGCCAACAAGACTTTGGCAGTGCAAAATGGTGTCACTTCAGACTTCACCAGTGCACTTTGCTGTCACATTTTGCATTGAATCCTTGATCATATCCAGGTACAACATATAGTTTCAGGAATGACACAAGGCCCAACAAGCTCTGAAGGTATCGTACAATTGAACATTTAAATAGTGTATCTGGCTGGATCTGATTGTTCTTGTGCAGAAATCCTTGTCATGGCAGATATGCAATCTTCCCAGTCCCCTTCGCCACAAACCACACATTAGTCTTCACCGTTGAGTTGGCCGCCATCACATAAAGGTAGCCCAGTCAATGAAAGTGCTAAGCTGACAACCTTCCTGCTATATATCTCATTACTTGCGAGTGTAAAATCCACAGGCGCCCTGATGGAAGAAGCTGTTGGGGAGAGGAACATCCCAGTCAAAAACAATCCTTGTCCTTTATCAGTACTAATGGGCAACAAGGCTGAGTACTGGGTAAATGGCAGTGGCAACCTCCTGCATCTCAAGTTCCCTGCAAGGTTAGACTTCCACAGCAAGTACAGCCACTTGGGACCCTACTTCAGCCTTCCAGACTCAGGTGTAAGTGTTTATCAAATATATTTTACCAGCAGGTCTGCTCACAGAAACTTGATGAAAGCTGGACTTGACGACCTTGAAAAGGGCCAGAGGTCACTTTGAGCTGCATTTTCTGTCACCTGATGGTGAGGAAAGCACACAATACCCCCAAGAAGCACTTGACATGTCACACAGGGTCCTTCAGACATTATCTACACTGACAACTGAAGTGGAAGATGTCCGGAATGCCTGTAAGTCACTTTAGATGCAACTCAAATTGGGTGGCTCATAATACTGATGTCATGCAAGTGGTGCCCCAGTCAGAGTGACCTGGCATGTCAGCATTCTTCCATGCATGTTCAGCGAATGAACAAGATAAATTTGTATTGCTTGTGCAGTCCAAGCCTCTGTTCAAAGACCTTCCCAATGACAATCAAGGGGCTGTCCCTTGTGTTTCTCGCAGCAACATAGGAAGTGTGTATTGGTTTGCATGAATCCATCTGTATATCAACAAGTAGATTTGCCCACACAGGGTTCAAAGAGTTGCTTAGTCTAAGTGTGTTGTTGTTCGATCCGCTGTGCATATCTGTTAATAAATTTCCACACAGGCAAAGCAAAGAAGTTAGCGCAATCAAAAGAGGAGAAGTCAAGCTCGAGCAACAATGGACATAACACTGCATCAGGTGCGATGATTCAACTTGGCTGCACCATACACACAGTACTGACAGCTATATATTCAGAAGTCGTGCGTATACATGACCTGTATGACCCAGACAGTCGCTACTCCAGTTTGGGAAGCCTGCACAATACCAAGGTTGAGTGTCCTGACATCCAGGACAGTCAGGGTGCCCTCATTCACCCTCGGGACTACAGGACAAAGTTGCAGCAAGCGCACTTTGTTGAGGTTGAGGTATATCTTGTAAGTCTGACTGTACGTGGGGATTGCAATCAGATGCTCATTTGCCCTTCACAGGTGGAGAATTCCTGCCAAAACTAAAATCAACCAGATGATAAGTGACTGGGAGAAATTTGGTTCGTGCAATTACCAAATTATCATGTGGTGAATGCAACTGCTGCCATGCACAGTGTACTTGAAGCCTGCTGTTTTGGACCCAAAGGGGAAGCAAAAGGCATCAGAGGAGGCCAAAGGGTAATCAGCCAAGAAGAGATCCACCGTTGTCAGTGACAACATGGATATCAACTTCTGAAAGGTCATTGAGCGGTGTTTATACATATGAGTTTGGAGCGTGACAACATGGGAAATTCACATTGATGTATGTTGCACAGAAAAACATCTTCTGTTACAGGGACCCTCAAACCCCTATCGTCTCCACCAAACATTGCTGTCACAACCGTGTCACAACATGTGACAGATGACATCACTGGCATGTGACTAAACTGCAGAGCACAGCATGACAGCTGTTGGATCATGACAGCTCTAGACTGGACCTAGACCGGGATCAATAGAAGCCGTGCGCTTCTCCCTTATTTCCTCTACCAATACACTGGTAACGACTATCACTTATCGCCTTATCACTTATCATGACAGATAGCGTTATCTGACTTGGACACCTACCGCCGTGCCAGTACTATACCCTGGACCCTTACCATTGAACCAGTACTCTTATCTCTGAGTCCTTATGACTCACATAGACGCTTACCTAGTTGGGACACTTTCTGGCTACCTAAGCCTACCCTGAACTCATAGGATGATACCTATATATACCACTGTAGTTAGACCACATATTTCTCTAACTTGATCTTCACTTGTGATATACGACTCTAGCTTCTTCTTTGATCCTTCAGTCAGTCATTCTAGATGGACAGCCTCCATTTAGTCTTCCAACATCTCAGTGCTCCATGAAGCAGACATGGGATCGACCCTATCAAGTGCACTGTTGGAAAGCCGGGCTTTCCTGTAACATCTTCAACATGATGCTGGTTTGAGCAATGGCACCTTCAACACAGGGCAGGATTTGATTGTGACAATGTATTCACACCTTCAACATGGTGTGCAAGCACTTCAACTTGCGTTGATCAGCAGGAAATGGATCTTCCAGGGACAGTCCGTGAATGACCAAAGACCCACATTCAAATTTGAGGATACTGAGAATATAATGTGAGTCTGAAAGGTTGGACAGCAGCTCAAACAGAAAATAAGTGAGGCATACATCACTTACAAGACAGGAGCCCAAGGCCTGCAAACATGAAGTGCGTGCACGAATGTGGACAACCAAGCCATTGCACATCTTGGATCAGGATCAACTATTGAGCATGGGACAGCCATTCAATGGCAGCCTGCAAATGGCATCTGACAAAGTATCAACAGAAAGCTTGCACAACCGTCGCACAAGCACTTCAGTTGAAAGTGACATCCATGGAATCTGAGAAAGAGGGGGAGACAGAACTGCATAAGACACGGGCAGAGGATGCCGCAATGCATCAGCCACATGAGCACTGAAAATATTCACAAAGTGCACAGAAAGGAGAGGTAACAGGGAGTGCCCACATGGCAAGGGTAACTCAATGTCTGACAGTTGATCAACAGCAGAACCAGGCAATAAAGCACTGAATGCAGACCAGGCAGTCTGAAAGGATCATAGGATCTGCTGCACATGTTTGGCCTTGGACACACACTTGACTTTGGACCCAAGCAGCAAGCTACACTGGGCAAGGATGGGGACAGAAAGGGAAGAGAGGATAAGTGATAACATATCATCAGCATAGGAAAGCCAAGATGGAAACTGATCCAACCAAAATGCAACAGAGGATGCTACACTGTGTGTAGAAGCGGATGCCAGCTTGCACAAGACATTGCAGTGACAATAAATGGGACTCTTGAACTCAGTAGGAGACATAAAAACAGAGGAATTGCTTTGATGAATGATCACAGATACACCATCAAAGGCAACACAGCCGGTAAATGGCAAGGAACAAGCAGGGCAAGAATCACAATGGCTTTGAAGAGATGACAAGAGCCAGGAACACAATGATTGAGGAGTTTCATGCCAAATCACAGGCAGATCGCTTCTTGGACCTACACCAAGTGGCACCCCTACCAGGACCCCGGAAACCAATTTTCAACATCGCGCTTGATAACGTGCTCAACGCCCAATGGCATCAACCAAGCTCCCCAAATCTCTTCCAACAACCTAATATCTTTGAAAAATCCCCATGGCACCAGGCGGTTCTGCCAGTCCAACCATCCTGGTGACTGTGGAAGCCCGGGCGGCATGCAAAACCACTGCAAGCAAACCACTACTGTCCGTCAGCAAGTCTATAGCAAAACACATCTCAGGGTCAGGCATCAGAACGGACATAACCAACACGACCACAGCAAAGAAGATCCTTACCACTCACGGACTGGTTCTACCTACAGTGGGCACCGTACTCAAACAACTTGCTGTGTCTATCTTTGAGCTCAGTATCTCCACTAACCTAGGCACCACCTACACAGAGATACTAAGGGCATTTGCTATCATTCTTCACGACGCAGAACAATCAATGGACATGACCAACATCATCAATAGAATAGAGAACCTCATTGGAGGCCTGCTCACCACCCTAGAAGAAAAGGCGGAAGAACTTGCAGAAGTCACAGAAAAACACAAGAACGCACTGGAAAATGCAGTATTAGAGGTGCATAGCAATCTAAACGACTCAGCTGCAGGAATAGATAAAGTCACGGAACATGCAATGCACATCATTAACCAACAAGTGCACAATGACACAGTGCAAATCAGGTCTGATGGACCGAAAACATATGCCACAGTGACCAGAATGGGAATCCCCACCCCACTGACCAAAATTCTATCACACAGTGAAGGACAGTCTAGACAAATACTACTGGACAGAAGATCTCTCCTCATGGACGACACCCTCAAAGACTTAACCGAAGCACAACTGGTATCAAAGGCAACAATGGCTCTTGAATTGATGAGAAAGGACAATGTCGCAGCTCCACAAGAGCTAGTCTTCCTCTCAGCTTGCCGCCTGCCCCACGGAGGGATCTTATACGAGTTAGAGTCGCCTGCCTCCGCCCTGTGGTTCAACACCCCAGCCAACCGCAGCAATTTCCTAGAGCGCTTTGGCATCAACATCATCATCAAGGAAAGATCATTCCACGTACTGGTCGAGAACGTCCCGATCTTGTTTACCCCAAACAACCCTGCGGCTACAGTGGACATCAAAAAGAAGGTGGGACTCAAACCGGGTAGCATCGTGAAAGTGAGGTACATCAAGCCAATAGCGAGGCGCAACCCAGGACAGCGGACAGCCCATACAATCTTCACTTTCAACAGCAGAGAAGACGCCAACCAAGCTATCAAATTCGGTCTCTCAGTAGCAAGTAAGAAAGTATATGGCAGGAAGCTCATACCAGAACCGACCAGATGTCTCAAGTGCCATTCTTTTGACAGCAACCATGTAGTGGCAGAATTCCCCAAGGAACAGGACACTTGCGGAACGTGCGGAGCACAACACTGGACTGCAGAGTGCAGAGTGGACGACCCCAAATTCTTCTACTGTTCGAACTGTGACATCCACGGGCACACATCCTGGAGCAGGGAATGGCCAACGTTCATTCGAAAGTGGGAAGCACACAAGAGAAGAAATGAAGAATCTAAATACCGATTTTTCCCAACGGATGATCCACTCACCCGGGAAACAACAACGGACAGCTCAAACAACTGGCACGACCCCAACGTCCGCAACAACAACTCCCCGCCCCCAACACTCGTCAACCAATGCCATCCTCCCCCCCCATCGTGAAGTGGGACTCAAAGATGGCAAACTGTCAACCAAAAACACCAACCCCAGCAACACTGCCAATCCACCTGCTTCCCAAACAACATCCAAATTGGCACCCAGACACGTCTGACGGACACCTGGAACCCAGGCCTACCACAACAAGATGCCGACCTACAGCGGAGCGGAACCCAACCCCAACCTAGCACCGAGACCAATGCCAACTCTCCTCACAGTTCGACACCATCACCAACCATGCACAACTCGGAAGGTCCTATCGACACCTCAGGCTGGGACTAATGCCAGTACAACCTATTGAACCCCCAGAGAGGACAGATTTCAAAATATGGCAACAGAACCTATGCAAATCCACGAACGCCTAGGAACACATGTTGAAAAACCTGAATCCTGAAACCTACGACTTAGCATGCATTCAAGAACCTTACCTTAACCCTGTAAACCTCGCTAACGCTTCTAATCTCAGACGTCACTGGGATATATTATACCCATCAAATCATCACGCCAACCCAGAGCGCTCTCAAACCATAATACTAATCAACAAACGCATCTCCAAAAACATGTGGCATATTGTTCCCATTAACTCACCGAACATAATGGCCATAGATCTGACTGGAGTGTTCAGCAAGGTACATGTCTATAATGTATATAACCCATGTGACCATAACAACACACTACATTACCTTGAGCGACACATGCGTTCTGAGCAGAACGCCCGTCGCAGTAACCCCCAACCACTTGCTCAAGGCGAGCATGGTGCGGCTACCGAAAACATAATTTGGATGGGAGATTTCAACCATCATCATCCCATGTGGGAACCAATATCGAACAACCATCTATTCACCGCGGCAAATCTTGATGCTGCGGGTGTATTAATTAACTTACTTGCTCTGTATGACCTAGTCCAGGTCCTCCCCCCTGGCTTAACTACACTAGAGGCCTCCAACACCAAGAACCTAACACGCCCTGACAACGTGTTCTTCACAGCTGGACTGGAACAAGTGTTCACAGCGTGCAAAGTGGAGTATCAGCTAAGGCCTGTAGTCACTGATCACTTTCCAATCATCAGCTCCCTGGATCTCCAACCGGAGCGCATCCCAACCAATCCTCGACTGAACTACTAGGACATCAACTGGGATGTGTTAAATGAAGGTCTCTTGGAAAAGCTAAACACTATCCCCCCACCAATGAAGATCACTACACGAGAACAGTTCGAAGCAGCCTTCACAAACCTCACGCAAGTAATCTCCCAGGTAGTCAAACAGCATGTCCCGCACTCCAAACCCTCCCTGTATGCAAAAAGATGGTGGTCAAAAAACTTAGAGTTGGAACGCACAGCTGTCCACAAACTAGGCCGTAAATCCAGGGCCAAGTTAGCTCACCGCAATGACCCCATCCATGAGGAGTACTGAGTAGCATGGAACAAGTTTTCCAAAAGTATCAAAAAGGCAAAAGGAGACCACTGGAAGGACTGGCTTGAATCCTTAAAGCCATTGGGAGTTTGGAATTTTCACAACTACACAGCCAGTAACCCAGCTAATTAATTTCACACCAGGATTACGACCCTCAAACACCCAAATAATGTACAACAAAACCCAGCCCCTCAAGACAATGCAAGAAAAAGCGAACTTCTTTACGACACATTCTTCCGGCCACCTCCAGAAAATGAATACGTCGACCCTAACTATAATTACCCTCCTCCCATATGCAAATTTGAACTCATCACAAACCAGCAGATCTTTCGGGCGATTGCGAAACTCTCCCCACACAAAGCTCCAGGACCAAACGGGATCAGCAACTGCATCTTCACGCACTGCACAGAACTTTTAGTACCTTTCATGGCTCCAATATTCCGAGCAACGTTCACATTAGGAATATACCCAGACAAATGGAAAAGGTCGTCAACAATTGTTCTGTGCAAACCAGGAAGACCAGACTACAGTCTCCCAAAGGCATATCGCCCAATAACACTGCTAGACACCATGGCTAAAATTCTCTCATCCTGTGTCACTGACGACTTGATCTACATAGCAGAACAGAACAACCTCTTGGCATCAATGCACTTTGGGGGACGACCGGGATGCTCCACAATGGACTCCCTACACCTGCTCACAAAGTTCGTAATGGACGCATGGGCATCCAAAGAAGGTTTTGTTTCTCTACTGTTCCTTGACGTTAAAGCCACCTTTCCTAGTGTAGTGGTCAATAAGCTCTTGCACAACTTGAGGAAAGCAGGAGTACCAGTAGAGTATATCAAGTGGTACCGGAGATGTCTCCACAACCGCTCGACCTTTCTATTATTTGACGACTATCAATCTGATCTTTTCAATGTAGCCGACGGCTTCGATCAGGGATGCCCCCTGTCTCCAGTGGCATTCATTTTCTACAACTCCGATGTTTTATGTGTGGCTGACCCTGATCCACGCAAGGGTGAGCTCAGTCTAGGATTCATTGACGATATCGCCCTGGCTGCTAGGGGTACATCATATGAAGAATCTAACGCAAAGCTTACCCACATGATGGAGAAACCAGGAGGCGCTCTGGAATGGAGCAGGGAACAGAACACTGAGTTTGAATTGGATAAGACAGCGCTAATCTGCCTCTCAAGGAAACGCATAACAAGTACAACAAACCCCCATAAGCCAGAGCTGACACCAAGAATACCAATTGTGATATGTGACCACACGATTCATCCGTCACGCTTGCACAAATTCCTTGGCGTCATCATTGACAAGAACCTCAATTTCAAGGAACACACGTCTTACACTCTGGCGAAGGGAACAAAATACGTGATGTCATGCAATTGAATGATCCGCCTGACCAAAGGCATACAAAGTTGTCTGATGAAGAGTCTATACGAGGGGGTCGTCATACCAAAAATGTTATACGCTGCTGACGTCTGGTGTTCAGGACTTATCTCAAAAGGAAGAGGAAAATTACTCAATGGAAAAGGAGCACGTGGCTTCACATCACAGATGGCAAGAGTTCAGAGGATGGCAACTCTACTGATGACCGGGGGAATGAGATCCACAGCCTCTGATCTCCTAGACGCACACGCTAACATACTGCCGTTTCAACAGACACTCCAAAAGATATGCTTCAAAGCCACCCTCAGAATGGCAACCCTTCCCAACACTCACCCCCTGGCCAAAGGAATCAGTGCCACCTACAATTTCTGTGTGAATAGACAATTCGGGGGCCATAAATGCCACCCGTCGCTGCTACACAAACTAATGAACGAGTTCAAGATAGACCCATGCAGGATGGAAACCATTCTACCAACTCATCACTATCCCAAATGGGAGGCGGATGTCAACATTCAGATTGCACACAAGAAGGAAGAGGCAGAGAGGGAAGATAAGGAAGCAGATGAGGAGTTAAGAGCATACTCAGATGGATCGGTGATAGATGGGGGAGTAGGAGCGGCAGCAGTGTTGATGAGAGGCGAGGAGGTGTGGAAGGAGAGATATTTTCACCTGGGGAGTGACAAGGAGCACACGGTGTATGAGGGAGAGATAGTGGGAATGATCCTGGCAGTGGAGTTACTTTGCGAGGCTGGGGGGGAAGGAACAATGGCCTTGGGGGTGGACAACCAGGCAGCCATTCGTGCGGCAAAAGCTTTCAGCTCTCAACCCGGCCACTATCTCATAGACACATTCCATGACGACCTTTGCTCGTTACTACCACACGATGATGGAAGAAAACTCATGCTATGATGGACCCCTGGTCATATGGGTATCCCAGGGAACAAAGCAGCAGACAAGCTAGCAAAAAGAGCAGCACAGGGAGAAGGCTCGGAGAACCATACACTCCCAAAATCACTGAGAGTAAGAGGACAATAAGCAAAGATCCTACCCATCAGCAAGTCTGCAACACAACAGAAACTCTACGCAATGATCAAACATGAGGCGAACAAGACCATGCACAAATCCCCCCGTTATGCATCACTGCAAGTCATTGACAAATCCGCACCGTCCAAACACTTCACCAGCATCATCGAAAGTTTCCTGCACCGTCACAGCTCACTCCTGTTTCAACTTAGAACTGGACACGCACCTCTCAACAAACACCTCTTCCGAATCTCCAGATCCCCAACGGCAACCTGCCAACAGTGCCACAAAGGCACAGAATCAGTCCATCACTTCCTCCTCACGTGTCCTGCCTACACTCGTCACCAAAACGTCCTGAGATTGGAGCTTGGTACGCACGCACACCATCTCAAACACTTGATCAACGATGTCAAATGCCTAAAGTCCATTTTCAAATGTATCACACACACCCGCAGGTTTGAAACAGTGTTTGGGGATGTCTCCCTACCAAAAGATGACGAAAAAGAGAAGTGACGGGAACCAAGGAGTCGAGAGGAAAACCTGCCAAATTGTATCCTTATCTTATCACCTTCAGCTGGTGTTAACTGTCCCCGCCCCAGCCAGGACCAATGATCGAGATCCATCATCCGCATCACATATGTAATCCCACTACAGTTCATACAGTACATATTGTCTACCATAGGGCGCTGCCCCAACGGACAATAAACAAGGATTCAAAAAAAACAAAATCACAGGCAACAACAGTGGAATATGCATACACTTTGATTCGAGAGCATGGTCTCCTTCATCAGCCTCCAAATGCTTCAATCCGTCAAATTGGCAGTATCACAAAGAATATAAATGATGTGCTAGGGAACGTGCTAGTGATCAAGCATAAGCATGGGAACAAGGGCTTCATCTTGAACTGCACTGATGAAGACATCAAAGAGGCAACTAACATCATCAAAAGGTAATGCATTCTATATACTACCATGCACCCAACTAACTGATGTTCAGCACCCTTGGGGTATCCGAATAGAGCTCACAGGCCAGTTCAGGTCCAGAATTAAGAGTTGATGCGAGGCACAGCACTGTATGAAAGGTTAAAAGTGTGATGGTGAAATTGCAAATAAGGTGCACCCTTGTATAAGAGCATTGACGATGGTGATATCATCAACAGCCATGTTGATAATATTATGCTTGTTGCCTCTGGGGTGTTTGACGACTAAGATGTTGCCTGTAACATCATCAACTGCATCTTCAATGAATGCCAGCTCCCAGATCAGCATGTTTGGAAGCAAATACACATCAGGAGTGTCACAAAAGAAAGTGTAACCATACTCTGGCACAACACTGCAAGAGCCGTGAATAACATTGTGAGTCTTACGGAACTTGGAAGTGAATACAATGAAGCGGTTGGTAGCAAGTTGATCCACCCAATGTGAAACTTCAAGTTGAGAGATGTGACAAAATTGGGCGACACCATCAAGGAAGCTTGGTGGTTGTCCAACGATAGAATAGCTTGTCTTGGATAAAGGATTGGAATACATCTAGAGTGCCTTGGGCAATGACAAAATTGATGTTGTTGGTAGTGGTGTCCTTGCCAGTGAACATCCTCATTGCACAGGAACCAGTGATAACAGCATGGGTCACATGCATCACATGAGCAAGTGCTTGAACATGATGGTGGACAAGGGGCTGGACGATACATGAGAAACGGGCATATAAGACAGTGGAACCAACTGACTGTGTATGTGTACTGGTGGCGCACCAAGCGAGAATGTCAGGGAGAAAGTCAAGATATCTGAATACTTCACGCATGAGAGTGGCTTCATGTAAAACTGAGACGTCCCTTTAAGACAACTCGGCCAGAGAATAAATAATGGTACTCACAAGAATTGACAGGAAGATACATATCAAGTACAAAATTGTCAACTTGAATGGAAGGGACGGGGACCACCATTGGGAAACCAGGGAACAATGGTCAACAGAAGGTACTCAGACTGCATTGTTAAAGGTGGGCTTTGCCATTAACTTGTGATAAAGTATTCAGTCTTCTGGGTCTGACAATCAGTAGTGATCGGCACATATGTCAAGCAACCATACTGCACATGAATTGAAACTGAAATAAGAGCTGAAATCGGGGAGACAAATCACAGATCGGGAAGTGTTCAACGATCAAAGTTAGCAACAGATGGCTCGCAACTCAATGTACTGCATGCTAAACAAATCTGAGAAAAAAGCAGACAGCAGGAGAAACAAATCATGGATTTAAGCGTATACACAAATTGGAAGAGTATTGAATATCCAGAGCACAACTTGAAGCATGTACAAACAGACCATTGTCAATTGAACAATGCACATGGTCTTTCAGCTGTGAGAACAAGTTTCCTCAGATGGAAAAATATTGCCCGCAGGTGGGGGCACTTTTTGTGTATTTAGGTAATTTGATCCCACATTCTCAAGTGATTGGCATTCAGCAGTAGGATGCCAAGTGGCGAAAAAGATAGCAGCATTCGCCACTTTAGCTGGCACAAGCAGCTTATAGAAAGAACAAAGGGAAATGAGGCTGATGTGGTGTTATGGTTGTCTGTGACACCTTTCATTTTCCTTTTCACCTTTCACATCTTCACCTCTTCACATTGACACCATGTCACAGTGTCACCATTTCCTGATATCACCCTATCTAGGGTTACTCTCCGACTTCACCTTATCACAGGTGCACACCCCTATTCATTGATCTGAGATCAATCTCGATCTATCCTTGGCAAGTTCTCGGATATTACTTACATGCTGATACCTAGTGTATTCTCACAGACCCTTAACATGCATACATCATGTGTATTCCCATGGACACTTATCTATACTTATATGGACATATTACCTACTTACCCTAGACCCTGGACCCTGACTTACTATTGTATATAAGCAGGTCATAGTCTTGATGATTCCTCATCTTGACCTACACTGGAATTACCCAGATACATCCTCTGACTACTAGTTAGACACTAGTGAATCCACCTTGATTCCTTTGACTTCTCTAGAGTGCCACCTCTAGTAGATTGATTGCCTTGAAACCTCCTCTGATTACCATCAGCATAACATGTGGGGCTTGAGATAGAAGAAATTTTTGAAAGGAGAACTGACAGTGAATGCAAACATGATCTCATATGTGGGAAGAAATTCCCAAAACAATTGAAAAAAATCAACAAATTAACAAATGTCCTCCCCCAAATGTGACCCAGCCTGTCTTATAAAGATAAGTATATGAGCTTGAGCTTTGGCCATACAGCTGCAAACTAAGAATTGATAGAATAAATGATAATGATGACTTGCCATAATTAAAATCAGGGAGTTGAGGAATTGGTGTGCACACACCATTACCAATCTTGTATCAATAGTGGTACTCAAAATAAGTTTCAAAACTTTTTGGAAACTTGGGTAGAGCACAGCTAAACCCTTCCAACACCAGCTAAAGGCATCAAAAAATCGGCCTCAATGGACTATGATTCAAGGTCAGGCCAGCATGGTGTAGCAGAGTTTTAAAACATGCCTGCTTGCCAATGTGTTTGTCATTCTGCATGACTTAGAGCCAATGCTCAAGTGCACTCAAGGAGAATGTATCCTCAAGAATCCACCCCCGAAGGACAACCCAATGCCCCTCCAGAAGCCCCTGGACCCAGGATGTCGATTCAATGGCAAAGCCAAAATGCCCTCACTGATGTCTTGGTGAACTACCTAACCACTCACCCCTCTGATTATAGGATCTTGTTCTATTCCAATGGGAAGAAAAAGATGTCTCCCATTGATGATGGCCCCTCTGGCAGGGACAAAGGCAATATCCATGGCATCATTGCCCACCTCATTTTTGCTGATCACATTAAGTATGGCCCTGCATACCATCACAACCAGAAGAAATTTTGTGATTCAGTCACCAACTGCATCTCAGGGTAAGCACACTCATTTTTTTTGTTCACACATACACTAATTAAATACATCTAGACTCAGAACAAGATACAAGAAGAACAAGAGCCAATTTACCGCCACAGGCGCTGGCATTGTGCCACTTGATGGGGCATCTGCACAAAATCTACTAGGTGAGTGTTAAGACCATGCTCAGGGGTAAGGCAGAGTCTGAGGGGCTTGGCTTCAGCTCATATGCTGTGCCCCTTACCTGAGTACATGCCCCTAATTTCAGATTGTAGTCCGACTTGAGTTCTACAAGCTCCAACAGGACATCAGAGTGGAGGTCCTCCGAAGAAGGACCAATGGACTACTAGATAAGCGTGGGAACATCGGGCAGAGATTGGTCCGCCCTACAGGGGAGAGTCGGAGGACTACTGCAGTCGGAGCTAACAGTAGGAATGGAGCAGGGGAGACTGCTTGGACGAAGTCCGAAGCAGAATGGAAACACAGAGGATAGAGGTATGAGAGGATTGGCCACAAGTTCAACGCGTGGGAAAGGCGGCGGAGGCGTGGGAAGTCGGACGAGCGGAGAAGGTGGCTGACCTAGGGAGTCAATCCCCTAGGCCAGCAAACAGGAGTTGACTTGGGTTGAGCCTAAGTCAAAGGACAAAAGAGCAGGGCTTAGAAAAGGTAATATTCAGACTAAAGATCTACAGACAGATGTACATATGTTTATATACTCTAAGTAAGTAGCATGGCATAGCAGACGGCTATGTGCTGAGTGTACAGAATTACTAGAAAGATGACTGAGGCATACAAGAAGGGAGTAGGAGTAGGATCAGGTGGACCAATGGAGCAGAGGAGCGGAGCTCCAGATAGGGTCGGAGGGTAGGGGTATGGTGTTGGAGGAAATAGGGGTAGTGTCAGAGGAGCGGAGCGGAGTCAGGCGGAGGTAGCAGGGCTAGTCCTGCTGAGATGCACTTCGTGCATTGTCAGAGAAGGATGGAGCGGACAGGGAAACAGGGGGTCGGACCAATAGTAGGGATGTCTATGAATGGTGTTGGGAGTGGCTGAATTGGGTATATGACAGTGAGTCTGTCATCCCTGGTTTTTAGTTATCGGCTGATTTATTTGTGTAGAAAAAGTTTGTGTGGACCTTCCATGGTACTCAGATCTGGATGTGATCTGGCACAGCAATCCCTCCATGGCAGAGAAGATGCACTCATCTAAGCCAGGCATTGATCATGCAGGTGCCCTGTATTCACTTGTTCAACCACATGGTGGGGCTGGTCTCTCCACACACTTTGGTGCCACCACTGGGGCTGGTTCCTCCATGTCCTTTAGCACCCCTGCTCAGTCATTACTCCCCCATATCCCCCCAACACTCAGCCCTCCCCCAATGCATATCCACTGCCCAGCACACACTTGCCCCCCAGTGCTTATCTACCCCTCAACGCACATCTGCCCCCCACCACATATCCTCCAACTGCATATCCTCCCAATGCATACTGCCCCTATACTGGCAATCCCCTAATTGATCCACAGCTTCTCCAACCTCCTACTCCCTCTGGTACCTCTCCTGTTCACCTTCCCAGCATTAATAATTCCCCTGACATCACTATTCATGATGATTTTGGACCTGCCAATGATAATGACTTGCATCCAGAGAGTGCTGGTGTCATATACCTGATCCGACCGCTCCAATATTGATATCCACTCCGCTTTCCAACCCCTCCACCCCATTCATCCTCCGCTCCGTCCTATCACAAGTCCACATTCCACCCTATGCTTCCACTCGACCACTCAACCAGTCCCCTTCCATAACCTCTCCATTCAACTGGAGCTCTTTCCCCTTTAGATATATGCCTTCCCTATTGGTACGTAGACCCTTACTTCTGGATGACTGGTAATTCCTATTACCACTTGATCGCTGATCTGACGCGTACATATTGATATCCGCCCCGACTTATGTCTTCGCCTATGTAAAATACTTACAAACTATATCCTTGGTACATAGCCTTACTGCATAGTTATCCTGATCACTGCCTCATACATAGTAGTATATAACATATCATGTACTTAGATATTTTTCCTCAGTCTTAATATTACTTGTCTTCTTACAGTCATATCTTGTAAGAATTCTCAGTAGAACCTTGCCTCCTCTGGACACAAGTCTCAACTTGTTGTCACCTCCAACCCTCCAACCCTCCGCTCTGACTTAGAGCCGTGCTCTAAGTCTTCCCCTTATTACTCCGCCCCTACCAAATATCCCCCTTCGCCCCTCTGCATTATCCTCCATCTTTCCCGCCCCTACCAACATTCCCCTGCTCCTATCCCCTCTCCACATCACTCCCCGCCTTCTCTGCTCCGCTCCTAGTCAGCCCACCGCTAGTAGCTTTCACTCCCCAACCCCCAGAGCGGACCAAAGCGGACCAATTGTCCTACCGTCGGACAACATCGGACCCGCTCCAAATTTGGGGCATGTACTCGGCTAAGGGCACAGCGCAAGAGCTGAAGCCAAGCCCCGACCCCTCTGCTTCCTGAGTCGGCACGGTATCTAACAGCTGGCCCATTTTCTGCCCCCCCCCCCCCCTCAACAGTAACAACATGATGGATGATGCAGGCACCCCTGAGAGCTCTCCCCAAGCCACGGGGAAGAAACACCAGCTCCCAACATCCCTATCCCCTCCTCCTGACCCCCCCCCCCCACCCATTTGAAGTGCCTGTTATGGCTGTGCTTATCTTACTTCCTTTTCCCTTGATCCACGCTTACTATGCATGTCTCTTATCATGCTATATTTAGTTTGGTATTACTCAGACACCTCATTGCTTATGCATGTGCTTACTGATACATACCTATTATTACGTCACACCCTGTATCCTGTATACTATATAAACCCTGGCTAGGTGACGCTGATTCTTCAGCTTAACCTACACTGGTTTTCCTCTGAACACTCTGACTTGATTCTAAGTTACCTCTTTGGTACTTAGTCTTTATTGAACTTGGGCGTTCTTTAGACAGTTGTCTAGAACGTATTGACAGACCTTTGGTCTTATTGATTATTGTTTGCCTGCATTATACTTCGGCGTAACAGTGCCCTTGAAGTTGCCAGCGTCATTTTACAACAGTCGCACAGCATTTGGCACACAGAGGCCATCCAGCCGTGGGGGGCAACACAGACAGTCATTGGAAATTTCCCACAGCATCTCAACATGCTTGTCAACGACTCACAACACTACCCCCTTGTCAGACTTGCCTACCCCACAGACCTCCCTGCCAAACAGTGTGGGGGGCTCAAAGAGAAGAAGGCAAAGTCAGATATTCTGCAGGAGGTAGACCACGTTTGGGATGAGATTGAGAGCATGCATTCTGACACAATGTCATGCCATGATAGCAAGCATCAACGCTTTCTCACAAAGCTTGATGTGAAGAGTGAGCATAATTACAACTCAAAGAAATATGAATGGCTTCACAGCTCCTGCGAGCACAAGGCCTCCCAAGCCACTGTCTCCCATCAATGTCTGCAGGAAAAACAAGATGCCGAGATTTGCCTTTGCGAGACGGATATTTGAGTGCACCAAGCACATTCATTGGAGCTCGATAAGGAGGCCAAGACCATCTGGCTCAGAATCCAGTTCCACCAGATGACGCAGGGCAACAGGACCCCTGCATCAGATGGAACTGCGTGATTCATCTGTCATCGTTGTCATTGCCATCATACTTCATTTGTTATTGCTGTTGCATGTTGTCGCTATCTTTTTTTTATTTGTTCTTACCATCATATGTTTCTTTTGTTGTTGTTGCTATGTTTTCATTTGTCGTCATTGTATTGTTATGTCATTATGCTGACGTCATTGCCGTTGTATCATGTCATGTTGCTCCGTCCAGTGCAAAATTCATTAAGCTAGCTACAAATACATATGTTTTGTCCTTAGAGCATTGAAATCATAGAAATCTACCAAGTGTTTTGAAGTCTGCTATGTTATGCCGCCTGTGCTGCAGCCATTGGACACTGAGTTTCTTGATGCCTTTAGCTGGTGTTGGAAGGTTTTGCCATGCTCTACTAGATAGTCCCACCAGTCCATGTGTCCCAAGAGTTTGTGCATTGACTCTAGCACATGCAATTCTGCATGGAATCCTTATGTATGTTGCATTTAGGTTTCCCCCAACATAATGCACAGTGCCATGTTTTTTGTTTGAAGTAGATCTCATCCCATGGCCAACTTATTGGTGCTGGAGGCTAGTTTTGTGCATACAAGGCTCACTCTAAAGGTCAGATCACCACATAAAATTCTGGAATGCAGTATGACGGTTATACACAATGAGAGAATACTAAAACAAATTTCTCTGGGGCCACATGCTTGTCAGGATCATCTGCAATAAAAGAAATATGCCCCAGACGTGACAATCTATCCAAAGTGTTACAATGAGACTGTGTAAATCGAAACTCCACAATGCCAAATTGAAGTCCTCACAACACACTAGTACGTACGAACAGTTGCGGACACTGCGGAGTGTGAAAAGGCATTGCAGCAGACAGGTGACATGGTGTGACAAAGTGTGTGAACTCTAGGGAAAATGTACTTTTCTGCGCGGTAACTCTCTGCCAGACTCAACATGTCAAGTCTCAAAAGAAAAACTAGCAGATGTTGTACTTTCAATGTCAGGCTATCAAACTGTCAAAGAATTATTTTTTTATGTTTGTGTGTTGTGGAGTAATAGATGTTACCCCAAAAATGCACGAACTCTAGTGGACATCTAGTATGGAATAAATAAATTCTTCGACAACTTTTGCAGTAAGGGTGGTCAAAAGATTAGCTACACATTGGAGTTCTGCCAAGTAAGAGACTTAGTATGTTCACTCACTCATTATTATTGATGTTTACATCCGGGTGCGTCAAGTCTGATACTTCTGTTTCCGATTGGACTTTCCATGCCCATTTTTAGGTGACGCATTAAAAGATCCAGGTGGAAAGATGTAGCATGATGAAACTAGTAAAAAAGCTGTGTTCATCGGCCATCTCCATAGGCACCACAAGTTGCTGACCATGCACAAGTGCTGGAGGACATGGAGGAAATTCAAATGGCCAGTCTGTGTCATCAGCAAAACTCCCCAATGTATATATAGTCATATATACACATGTAACTACTGTAACACACTGTAATGACTGTGACGAGTATCTATAACTGACCCTAGAATACATACCAATACGATGAATCGATTTTTATCATATGGTCAGAGGAACATTACAGACCACATTGTATGCTCGCTGGCATGATCCAGAGAGCTCTAAGATTATATTATCTTATATTGAGTTATAACATTGAATCACGCTGATATCCCATAATAACCATCTATCATTGAGATACTTGACTACATGCGGTACAGTGGAATGTAATGTAGTCTATTAGTGGTAACTGCATGTACCAATCGTCTGGACATGAGCACTAAGTTGGAAATCGTAAGAAAAAGCATGAGTGATGTCATTGAAGACTGCAAGTGAAAGCGAGACGTGTCCATGAGAGCATGAGAGCATGAGAACCGTAGAGTAGTATCAAGTCCGTGAGGGTAATGCGAATGGAGCCAGAAAAAAAAAGATCATGATGCAGTAGTGTGATTCTAAACACAAGCAAGCGAATGCTATGAGTATCGAGCAGACTACAAAGACTGATGCGACTCACCTATTTCCTCGACTTGTGCTTAGTCAGAGCCTTCCTGGGTTTCTTAACAACAGTTTGTTGTGTGCACTTTGCTGGCTAAATGGTCTCTGGCTCTTCTTCTGTCAGAGGGTTGTCGTCATTGAAAATTGTTGCAATGGATGGTGCGGAGGCTTGCTCACGCTTGTGTGAGTTGACAAGAGGGAAGTGTGCAGGTAAGACATCATCCGCCTCTTGAGGAGACGAGGGAGGGAGTGGTGAGGGCTGCTTGTCCTTGTGAGGATTAGCTGGTGCTTGGGCTACTGGAGAATCTGGAGCAGTGGGAGTGGGCGGTCTATCAGGAGTAGGAGGTAAGGACTTGCATTGCAACTCTTGTTGCTTGTTGACTGCCGAAGACTGCGCAGATGTTGCGTCAGAGGTTCTGGAAGCCCTCACAGCACGCGTGGCAAGTTGTCGTTCCATGGCAATCATGTCATCCTCGTCTGAACACTCAGTGTTCGTGGAATGAGTAGGTTTGGCACTGTTTTCATTGCCAAACAATTTCCTGGATACATGAACATGTTAGATAATAGAATAAAGTAGTGAATTACTTACTCATTGTAATATGCTAGAAGGGAATCGACCCACTGCCCGTCTTTCCTCCCCCAAATTAGGTTTATCATCCTAGTGTAGAAGTCAGGATAATGAAAGAGGGTGTCCTTATCTTTCTATTTGTCGAGTGAACTGATCGCAAAATGAGCCTGTAAAGAACATCAGGAAAATGTGGTAAGGCTATATAGCCACCCATAGCGCTATAGACTGCTATACAGACTCCATAGCCCTATAGCTCATATAGCCAAGTGCCCAATTGTGCAGGCTTACTACACCAGTGTATAGTGCTATATAGCTCTATTAAAGTTGCTATAGCTGGGTGGAACATACCACAACTATTGTAGCTATTATAGGAGCACATCGGAAGCCATCAGCGAGTACACAATCATCCCAGAAATACCTTTACGGCCAGCTTTTCAAGTCATCCAGCGGTTCAAGAACTTGCCGGATTTCTTGGTCTTTCCGGTGTTCCTGGCATTGCAACCCCAGGATGACTCCACACGCGCATTCCAAGAAGATCGCCATATACCAGAGATAGAGGTTATCTATGCTATGACGGCATTTGCAATTTTTGCAAAAGAAGCCCGGGAACGAAGTCGATCAGCCTCTGATGCTCTGAAGTATGCATGTCAAAATTGGGCCTTCCATCTCTCGCGAGCTCCTACTCCACGGGATGGCAAGCCCGACGTTTTATTCAAGTTCTTCTGGGATCATCACTTGCTCGCCTGGCTCGAAAGGCAGTGGTGCTTGAAAGGCTTGTGGTCTTGCCTCCTTGTTTTATCTGAAGGGCAGAAACTTGCAAAAGTGTGTGTTCTCCGATTTTCGTGATTCGGCATCTGACTTGCACATATAGGAATGCCTCCTCCAAGCTCCGGGGTCGTCTCAGTCATGAGTCTGAAGCTGTCGATCTTGTGCATCCTGTTACGCTGTCTTGTTATCGCGCATTGATCATCTTTATTTTCTTTTACATTGCTCCAGTGTTTTTAGCTCTCATACAAAGTATTTTTTTCTCCGCTTCCAGCAGATCCTCCGTATCCAAGTCATCGATGAACGAGAGAGATAAATGTGTTGGGTTTCTCATCCCCTCCGACTATAAATTGAACAGTACATCAGGACTACTTGTATGTGCGGGCACTGTGCTCGAGTCTGCAGTGTGGCCAGTGGGTGTATACAGCTCACGATACACCACGACTACGAGTATACGACAGGTCAAAGCTAATGGCAGAAATGGATTGTGGAAGGTAAAATGTGCACTAGATTGTCAGCACACAAACTCCTTGCGCGCTGGTTCTTAAACTGTTGTTTGATGCCCGCATAGCCTTCCTGGTCGACTTGATGTAGATAATATGAGCTACCTCTGTTGTCATCTGGCACCTACGGAATTCACATGAGATAAAATATTGTGAAGCAGATAGGCATCCTCACTCACGTTGC